ATGGCCCGTCTGCGGCCTCCCTCGAAGCCCCCCGGCGGAGCGGCGTGCCCTCTGCTCATCACCGTCTGCTGCGCCCTTGTGTCCGGCGGAGTGACAGCGGCGGCGGGTGAGTGGCTCTCGTGAGGCTGATTTTCCGCTGTTTATTGAGGTTCTTTGTGTATTGGTGGGGCATAGTATGGCCAGAGTCTTTTAAGGTGTGGGTATTCTGTTGGTTTAGGAATGTTAAGTTTTATTTTTTAGGTTTTGAGGCTATTTTAGTATCGTCAATATGTTTTCGTTTTTATTTGCAGAGTTTACTTTGTTTTAGGTCTTATTTATGCAGTTTTAATTGTCCGTATTAAAAAAAAAGAAAAAAGAAAATGAATTTCCTTTTTTGGATGATTAAAGATTGCTGTTGATTTTTTAAGTGTGGAGATTTTGTGAGATATAGAATTGATTATTTATAATATACAGAGGCGTTTCCTTTTTTATTTTTTGAATATTTATTTGTATTTATATTTAAGCATCAGGCACGCATTCACTTGTGCGTGCGCGTTGATGCTTGTCTGCGCGTGCTAGTGTTATATAGTGTTATATAAAGTCAAAAGCAACACGTTCACCGAAGGATATTCTTAAATAATAATGCGCATAAAATTCCACATTGCAATGCACACATAAAAAGTTACACATGATTTGACCAATACAATTATATTTCCTCAACCATAGTGCATAAAACAGTCTAATTCTGACAGTCTCCTGATCTTCGACACCAAACTGACCTCCATATGTAGAAGAGGTATTCATTCTCATTCATACCTTTTCTACATATGTTAACATGAATGCTGTTTGACCTTCATATGACCTCCAACAGAGACGAAGGTGGTGCAGTTTCAACCCGACGGAGTGGCAAGACAAGATACTTTCCTTCGGTATCGTGGTGAGGTTCCTGAGCTTGGAAACGCGACCGTATGCTTCAGGCTCAGGCTTCACCAGCTGAGGGAACTGAGTAGTGTCTTCTCGTATGCTGTTGCGGATGAATCGAATGAGGTTTTGATAGGTGGGGAAAGATGGTAATATTTGTCTTGGTGTCTGTGTTCGCCTGCTTTATTTTTATTTTTCCTGTCTACTGATTCTCTCTTTTCTCTCTCTCTCTCTTTCTATGTCTTTCTCACTCACTTACTCCATCTTCTCTTTGCAGCATGAACCATTTTTTCACTCTCTGAAATCAATATATCTGTACCTCGCCTCCAGCTGACCGTTATATGTATAAAATCTAGATTATTTGCGTTTATAGATTTAGCGAGTGTACTTTTCTAAGGGAAGTTGTTACATTATTATTTTATTTCTGTAGCATATCAGAAATTGCATCATAAATTCGCTTGATATAAGGTTTGCACTAGTTCATGCAACAGATTTATATTGACACACATTCCGAAAACTTTACGAACTTTTTATTACTCTCTTTTTTCATTTATCGTTACTAAATCAACAGGCTTTGAGGAAGACACTTACATGACACTGTATTGCTGCGGGGGAGTGTTTCACGACTACTACAACTACTCCGTGACTCTGCGTCAGTGGCTGTCTGTCTGCGTTGCCATGGATCTGGAGTCGCGTCTTGTAAGCCTCCTGGTCGACGGCAATATTGTCAAGCACAAATTAAGTACCCTGAGTGAGACCCAGCTGAGAGTCCGGGGAGGGGGACTCCTCCTCTTCGGCCAGGACCAGGACTCGTACGGCGGCGGGTTCACCAACACGCAGAGTCTGAGTGGGACGCTGGCCGATCTCAGGGTGTACGACGGAGTCTTGAGCGACGATGATATGCTAGTGTTCGGGAGGTGTGATTCGGCGGCGGAAATGTCGGCCAGTCCGATCATAGACTTTTCTAACATTGAGCGGGATTTCGAAATGGTGAATGTCGACCTGCTGAAGACGACGAAGGAGAGGTACTGCGCTTCTCGGCGGGACAAAATCCTCGTCTTTACTGAGCCGTTGGTGTTTGAGAAGGCGAAGCATATCTGTGGGCTTTCGGGAGGTAAGCTAGCACTACCAATGAGCGAGAGAGACACGTGGCGGCTCTTCAATGAAAGCGTCCCCTTCGGAAGTGCTTGCAACACCGGCTCGATGTTTTCCTTCTGGCTCGGTGTTCAGGGGCACGCGGAAACTCAGACGTGGAACCACTACCTCACAGGAGAACCGCTCAACTACACTAATTTCAGAGGGAGGAAACCGCTCGTCGAGAATCCCTTTATCTGCGTGGGATTTGTGGGAGACGATAAAATCGACTCGCGGGAGCACGGCGGATGGCATGCCGTCGGCTGCAAGGAGACGGCCTGCCCCATCTGCCACCTGGACAAGGTCGTCCTTCTGAAGGCGCGAGGACTGTGCAAAGCGTCGCTCTTCGACCGCCAGTATTTCCTGACTAAAGACAATGGCTCAGTCGCTTTTACCGGCACGCATTACTCCAAGATCACGCGGCATTCGCCTCTCCACGACGGCCACGAAAACGCATCTGATCATGGTTTCTGGCAGTTAGCTAGGCTTGACAGGCCCTCGGTAAGAGCCACGCTCCAGATGACGTCCCCGACGCACTATCCCTTCGGCCGAAACGAGTGGGCTGTTCAGAACGATGTCTGTGGCACCGACTCCGAGGTCATCACAATCACGTTTTGCAAGGAACACCAGTTTTCGTGCAGCGACGGCAGCTGCATTGAGGTCCAGCAACGATGCGACATGGAGCTCGACTGTCCCAGCGGGTCGGACGAGATGGCCTGCCACTTCCTGACGCTCGACCCCTCCTACAACAGCGACAACCCGCCACCGCGCTCGGCCGCCTCCAGCCCCGTCGAGGTCCAGATTCACCTCCACATCTACGCGGTAGAGAGCATCGACGTCGACAACTTTGAGTTCACTTGCGAGATCGAAGTGACGACGGAATGGTTCGACCCCCGCCTGCGCTTCCGACACCTGAACTACGCCACCGAACTCAACTCCCTCAGCGGCGACGAGAGGCTGCCTTGGACGCCGCAGCTGGAGTTCCTCGGGGATGGACTCACGGCGAGCGACGTCCTGGAGCGGCGGTCGTCCCTGAGCGTCCGGCGGTACTCGGACCCCCTGGGCGACAACGACGAGGAGGAGCAAGCGAGTGAGTGGCCTGTGGTCCCTGTGGTGCAGGCATTCAGGGAGGGGGGGGGTTCTCTATTCCTCTCTTTTTGTTGCAGTCGTTCAGGAAGATACTGAGAAGGCAATGAGTGCTTATTTCATCTTTGCTATAATTCCTCCCTCTTTCTCGTTCATAAGGAAGGTATTATGCGACTGTTTAGTTCAATCAGCCAAGAGGATATTGCCCTCAATTGCAATATTATCTCGCGTTGCATGTAGTATCAAGCGTCTTCATAATTAGCAAGACTGACAGATATTTTTTTGGTTTTGAAGTTATCACTCATCACTCTTGTTTCAGGTGAAGTTTTCGCGGGAGAAAAGAACTCACTCTTGCTAATGAGGAAGATGACTGTGACGACGCCTTGTCAGTTCGATTTAGAGAAGTTTCCCTTCGATGAACAAGAGTGCTCCATGGTAAGGGGACTGTGTAGGTGTATGTGTTTATGTGTGTGTGTGTGTGTGTGTGTGTGTGTGTGTGTGTGTGTGTGTGTGTGTGTGTGTGTGTGTGTGTGTGTGTGTGTGTGTGTGTGTGGGGTGATTTTGTGTACATATACATTTATTTATTTATTTGTTTATTGATTTATTGATTGATTTTTGCCGCGTCAACGTCTATGGTCATTAGCGACGTATTCAAAATATAGAGATAGGGCAAGGAAGTGTTTTGGTTTATAAAGCGATGGTCAATGGTTAAAACAAATAAACGTGCCAGACACCATAGGTCATACAGCTTTATGACAAACTATTGTAGCGAAAAGGGGTAAAAAGGAGTTAACGATTAGGATAAGTGGACAGAAGAAGGGGGTGAAGAAGAGAAGGGAAGGGAAAGGGGAGAAGAAAAGACCTTGCAATTTGTTGAGGGGAGCTATCTGTTAATATATGCATTTATCAGTTGATCTACTAATCCATATACATGATTATTCATATATCTAAACATGTTTTTAAAAATGCATGATGTATCTGTTAATCAATTTATGTATCTATAAGTCTGTCATTTATTTTTTTTTGCCAATTATCAGTCCACCTTTCCAGGCGTTTCTCGTTTAAATCCATTAATCTACCTATCCATCTATTAATCTATCTACTTACCTGTTCATCTATTCTCTATCATATTTACCCATTCATCTAGATTGAAGATTCAACCTATTCACCTTTTCTATTCATCACTATATCTATTTATCTATTTATCTTTACTAACGCATCTATTTATCTATTAATGTAAATCTTTTATAGCGACTGGTGATATCTGGCATCACGCGAGACTATATAACCCTGATTCCTGACGAGGAGGGGATATCCTTCAGCGGGAGACGCAAGTTGCTAGAGTACGTCTTAGTGAAGGAAGTGATAAAGAAGCAAGATGTGGTAAGATCACTGCCTTAGAAAAATAATAATGAGAGAAATGAATAAATGATAGGAAGGATGAATGAGAGACAGGAAGTTGGGAAGAAAGAGAAAGCCAAAAGGAAGGAAAGGATAGTAGGGAATGGGAAGAAAAATGTTGATAGTAACAATAAAACATTAATATTAGCATTAATCTCATCCTCAATCTTGCCGTTATCAGTATGCTAATAAGCAGCTAGTTATTGCCAAGATGAGCACCTTGTTATTAAACAGCGATCACCAACTGGAATTCTCACACTAGAACATTAACTACTATTCAAACTTCTAAAGTCATTTCAATAAACTGCATTGCAATCATTTCTAGAAGTGGCACTTAACGCAATGGAAATACTGCGAAATAAAATAAGATTTCCATACTTTTTTATATACGGCGACGACCTCTATTTTACGACAACAAAACATAACATGGCTCATCACATTCACTACAGACAACTACAGCGAACTCGAGGTAACATGAC